TTTTTTGTACCATTTGTAATTTTTCTGGAAACCTCTGGATGTAGGGTTCTTTATTTCAGATTCAATTAAATTGACTTCCTTACATAATGCTAACAGTTTTTTGTATTTGTTCATAATTTTGAATATAATACTGAATTTTGTTAATTATATTTTTCAGTAATTTCCCATCTGTGAAAGTAACTGTGACTTCTGAGCTACCAATGGGTGCTGGATTAGGATCTTCGGCAGCTTTTGCAGTCAGCCTTTCTGCTGCTTTTTTGGCATTTTATGGAAAGCTTGATAAGAAAACTCCATTGAGTCAAGAAAACCTAGATGAAATAAGCAGATTTGCTTTCCAAGCTGAAATAATTATTCATGGAAAGCCATCAGGCATTGATAATTCAATATGTACATATGGTACTGATTGAATTCACACTTTTGAACTTTCAGTATGAGAGGCTTATTCTCTAGTTTAAATAATGTTTAGTTTAATAGATACTGTATGTGCATCTTAAGAAACTGATACTAGAATAAAAACTAAATTATAAAGAGCATTTTTATATTGTATGTTTTTTAACGAAAAAAACTTGATATATCTGAATATTTATGCAAATTTTAGGAGGTGCTCTTATTTTTCAAGCTGGAAAAATTAAAGAATTTTTGCCAGAGTTAAGTTTTAATTTTTTTTTTTAAAGAATAGATGAATGATATTATTTTAGTTTATTATATAAAATTAAATTTTCATGGAATTATATACAGTAAGTAATCGTTAATTACCTTAAATATTTTATTTCTGTGATTCTACTCATTTTATAAAAGGAATTTATTCAGATTAGGGTTTAAAGTACAATTATTTTGTATTCAGTATCATACAATTTAAGGACAACAAGGGATCTGTTGGTCCATCATGGTTGACCAATCTACTGAACTAAACTTTAAAAAAACAACCTTAATACATACCCTTATCATTTTACCCTTAAACTACTTCACGCTCGTTAAATTTCTTTATGCACGTGTCATGAGGTTTTACATTCAAAATTTAATTAAACCACTTTACTCTCAATTTATTTTAATGTTATTAGCATTATCATTAATTCAAAGTTTTATATTATCTATGTTTAATGCCTTTATTTCAAAAGAAACTTGTAATTAAAAATACTTAAACCTCACTTTTGTTGTCATGTGATGCATGAGCAATCACAGATCTTAACTTTTTGTCTCTGTTACTTGAATAACAGCTCGTGTACAGTATACATGTATGTCTAAACTGAATTCTACTCACACAGCAGTACTTACCCATTCTTAGTTCAAATTCCTTTGGGTTAATTCAGAGCTCACAAAAAATAAATATTCTCACACCCTGACAGTAGCCATGTCCTCCTTTTATATCAAACATGTTATTTCACATAAAGCATACATATTTGATGGACATGTTTATAACCAATAGAAAGAGTTCATTTTAAACTACAGTCTTCCAATGATTATTTTAAAACTGGAGTGCATCATTTGTTACCAAGTGCATCAAACAACCGAAGCATATTCTGCAAATTTTGTCCTTGCTAGCAAATAGCATTGATTCTCGCATAGGTACATATTAGTTAAACAGACAGTTAAATTGTATTTAGGTTTTACTTTTATATTTTAGTTAATTATATATTATATATGTTTAAAATGTTTGAAAGGTTGAATAATTTTTGTAATATAATCCAAACTTAACGTGCTCTATGGGGCTTACATTACTAAGCGAAAGCAAAAACATTTTGCTAGAAGCTAAAGTATCTCTGCTGATGATACTATTATTTCACCTGCGGGCACCCATTGACTTGTGCCGAGATGAATAATAGACCATAAAGAAAATATAACATTAAAAATAAATTATAAGTGAATAGGTAAAAATGTGAAATTATCCATATAACCCAAAGAAGCTATTTTAAGATTATTCAACAGAGAGTTAAAAGGTACGTACGTATTTCAGTTTATTAATTTTAAACATTTCATTGCACTGTGTGCTGATGAAAATAGCTAAAGTTAATGATGTAGTAGAGAAAATGAAAATAATATAAACATTTACCTTCAAAAAAACTTTTATTTTCACTTAGGAGGTTCTAGAGGTTATGCAAATAAAATTTGAAAAATATATTTTTATACTTAATATGTAAATCACCTTTCACTTGAATTGTTCAAAGTCTGAGTGCAAATAACTACAATAAATAACAAATGTTTAGTAGAAGTAATGGAAAAAAAATCAAATATTTTACTTTTCTCAAACTACATACCATAAGAAAAGTTCCTGTCAAATTTCATCCACTACTTTTATTTTTGGAACCAAATTTTACAAAAGTTATGTTACTTCCTCAAGATATAAGGACGCAGTAACCAAAGGGTTGAATATTTATCTAACTCTTTCCTAAGCTTCCTTGAATTTATTGCATCCTCCACATCTACAGGCAACCCTTTCCAAAAGTCAACAATTCTATCAGAAAAATAAAACTGTCTTAGATAAAGGTGACTCCTACCCTGCCAGAATTTATTTTCTTACATGTTTGACTATTATAGCCATTAAGTAGGAAATTAGATGTATTGATGCTATCAGTTCCCTCAGAAATCTTAAATACTTTGATCAGATCCCCACTAACTCTCCTCTTTTTCAAGAGAAAACAATTTCAGAGATCTTAACCTGAATTGTTAGAAAGGGTCCAAAGGAGAGATACCAGGATGATACCTGGGATGGAAAGGTTGCCATCCAAGATTAAACACAATACTCAAAATGAGGCCTAACCAGTGACCTATACAATTAAAATAACATTTAAGACTTATATTCAGTATTTCTGCACTGAGTTTTGAGGTATCCCACTTGTGAAATTATTCTAGTTTGACTGACCTCTATTTATAACAGCTTTCTGCATTCTTCCATCTAGTCAGTTTTTAATCCAATGAGACAACTTATTCCCCACACTTAGAGAGTACCTATTGTGTAGCACATTCATTAGGAAAATCTTAAGTATAATTTAGTAACTCGGTCATCCCATTGTTATAAGATATAAGCCTTCATTTATCATTCCCTCAAAGGCCCTACTTGAATCATTACATTTGCTTCCCCTTCATGTGTTTAACAAAACCCTTACTCTCTGTATTTTGTGTATGTGTATGGGCCAGATTCTTTACAGTAGGTGTCTGTGGCTTCTTGGTGATAAATTTCAACAATAAACAAACAGCACACAGTCCACCTGTTTTAAAATAATATGTTAAAAGAAGTCAAATGTATGCACAAATGTTTGTTACAGTGTTGATTATAACAGCTGTATCCAGAGCCTTAAAAAATCGTCTTTCTTTCCTCAAAATCCACACAGGCTGGTTCAGTTATTTTAGAACACAATTTGACATGATGAATTATTCTTCTCTACTCTGTCATTACAATACAGTCTATGATAATTTCACTTTAAAAATCACCACTATACGCTCTTTATGGCTAAACTCACAATCACACAGTCTAGATCTATCTTTCAAACTAAATTTTCGATGCATATTTATACCCTGACAGAGGTGTAGAATGTTTCACACAACAATACTCAATTAAAATAACAAGAAAAACTCGTAAATTTCTAGTACTATAATGTAGTAATGTAACAATCGGCTATTCATAACTATTGAACAACATAATGTATGATTCATAAACAGTTATGTAAACAAACCTGTGGTAAACTATCTTTTCTAATAATAACTAAATTTAACACTTGATATATGAAATATCTAAATCCTAACACTTGTGTTAAACTTGAATGGAAGCAGTCATGTATATCTGACAATAAACCTCTTTTCAAGGAAACTATTTACAACATTTATTTTTATACTCTACTCAAAGTCTGTTTTCAGTTCATGCACAAAGTCTATTCATACAGTCTGCACCAACATTTGCAATCCCCTTTATGGCCTCAATTTGGAACTGGTAGTCCTGGAGATACAATGCCCACCTTGTTATCTTTGCACTGTCGAATTTGCATCACTGAATGTATGGAAGTGTTTTGTGGTCTGTCTGGATGATGAACACCTTCTTGTTGGGATAGTTCTGGGATTTATGGATGGCAAATATGATGTCCAGGCACTCTCAATCACAGAGTAGCTCTTCCCACTAGTCAATAGCTTTTTACTGTTGTACATTATGAGAAACATTCTATTTATATGTTCTTTCAGAAATACTGCCACAATTCCATTGGCTGAAGCGATGGCTTGAATGGTGAATGGTTTGTTGAAGTCTGGCTTTCTAAGGATTGGCAAACTTCTTAACATGTTCTTCAACTTCTAGAATGCCATTTGCTGTGGTTGTTCCCACTTCACCTTCTTTGGTTGGTCTTTCTTGGTCAGGTCAGTCAATGGTACAGTGACTTCAGCATAGTTTGGGATGAATTTCCTATAGTATCCTGCTAACCTCTGGAAGGATCTGATTTCCTGCTGAGCTGTTGGAGTTGGTGCATCTTGTATGCAGGTTAGCTTCGCCTCTTCCATGGCAATCTGTTGTTTGCCCACTTTGTGTAACACAGACTAATTGATGTAGCACTTTGATGGTCTGATGGTCAGACTTGCTGCTCTCACTTGCCTGAACAATTCTTTGAGTTTCTTCAGGTGGTCTTCCCATCTGGCTATGTGGGTCAGATTGTTGTCCACATAATGCTCGATGTTGGTCGTTTTTGTGCAAAATCTTCCTCATCATGCGGATGTACATTTCTACTGAGTTGACTAACCCTAACAACATCCTCTTGTACTGGTAGCATCCATCCGGTGTCACAAAGGCTGTATTCTCTTTATATTCTGTTTCAATCAGGATCTACCAAGAACTGTTACTGAGGCTTATCTTGGAAAAGAATTTGGCCTCGTCTAGTTTCTCCATGACAGCCTCCAAGTTTCCCATACGTTTGGAGTCAAACTTTGTCACAAGGTTCAGCTTCCAGAAATCTATGCAGAAGCATTTGAGCCATCCCTCTTCTTCATGATTACTATTCTTGATTACTTCATGAATAGTAAGCTGAATTTGAATGCTCAGCAGTTCTGTCTTGGAACATTATGTCAGCTTCTTGCTTGTAACATTACCTCAGCTTTTTGCTTGATCAGGTCTCTCATTGCACAGAGCATCTGGTAGGGCTTCACCTTGAATGGATCCCTGGTTGTGGTCTCGATCTTGTATTGTACAAGGTCTGTCTTGCATGGTCTATTTGTGAAGATTGCTGAGTGGAGATGAGATGCACAAAGACATCAACATCAGTGAAGAAAGAGCTACAAGGTCTACTGTGCCACTACACAGATATCATAGGTCTTCTATGAAAAAAGGCACTGTTTTCTGGTTCTGCATCTGTGACAGCCACATCTGTGATGTCCATCTGCGCCTCAGTAGCTACACCCATTAGGTCTTCTTCCCTCCCAAAGTACCACTTCAACAGATTGGCTTGGTAGATCTTGTTCTTCCAATCCACTTTCATCTTATAGTCCATTTTGTTGACCACTTCCTCACTTCAAAAGGTCCTTTCCACAGCAGGATGAGTTTGTTGTTGTCTGTGAGTAGCAGAAACAAGACCTTCTTTCTGACTTTTGAAGCAGTAATTCTTGGCATTATTTTCATAGAAGTACTTTTGACTGCTTTGAGCTGCATACAAATTTTCTTGTGCAAGTTGACAGGCCTCCTCCAGTTGGTTTCTGAGGTATAAAACATACTGATATGTGTTCCTCACTTCTGACTTTTCTTGTCCTCCTGTCCACAGTTCTTTCGATATCTGCATTGGACCTCATACTATTCTTCCTTTCTCTTGAAGAGTGAAACTTCTGTACTTGCTTGTGGGACTTCTCAGTAAGCAAATAATACTGCCTGTAGGTACCAGTCTCAGGCATGTGGTTTCTCCTGGCACACCTTCTATAGCATGCTCTTTAAGACTGTTGACTATCTCAGAAAGTCCATTACATCTGTGGTGGTACAGGGTGGTAAAGAGCTGCCTAGTGCTGACGAGTCTGCACATTTCTTGCATCAGGGGATTTTTTTCTACTCCCTCCATCTCTATCTTTGGCACTGCTATGGTTTCTGGGTAACCTGTTGCATGGTTGATTATTGTCGGCACTTACCAGTTGCCCTTGTTAGTACAGATGCTAATGGTCCGATTAAGTCCACAGCTACTCTGCTGAACAGCTCTTCTATGAGAGGTATCTCACTCAGTTGCACTTTGGCTACCTTCCCTCTAGGTACTGTCCTTTGGTAGATGTCACATGACCCACAGAATCTGGTCACATCTCTGATGACCCCTGGCCAATGGAAATTGCTGATTCTGTCTGGCATCTTCTTCCCTCCAAGGTATTCTCCCATAATCAACTTGTGAGCCAACTTCATCACTTCAGTTAGGTATTCTGTTGGCACTATAATCTGTTTAACTTCCCCAGTAGAACTGCCTTGATAAATATGGTAGTATCCTCTATTCTGTGAGTACCTTTTCCCAAACGTTTTGCAATGAAGGGTCTTTCTTCTTTGCTTCTTTCAGTTCCTGTAGACCTACATTTGGGATGTCACTTTTCTAGACTTGCAGAGGCTTAATGTCTTGCTTGCCTTTCGTTTCTTGAGCTCTTATGGTAACTACAGATTATTCACCAGTCTCTATTTGTCTGGTTCTTCCAAACTTCTACTGCATGGTATGCATCCAATCACCAAGTCATAAATGGGTACCTTCATACACATGGCCTCAGGGTCTCCTACATCGTGTGGAGTGTCCAACTTTATTCTTGCTATGGTAAACTTTTCATTATTCCATCAATCAGTAGATACAGATGTACCTTGCCTATAATCTGATTATCAGATACTAGACTGGTTCTTGCGGCTGCACCCAGTGTCTCGTAGAACTTTCATTTTCTTGTTCCTGAGTTAACCTTCACCTACTGGCATATTGTGGTTTGTTGGCACTTCTTGACATTTTTCACATGCTTCAAACACTACTTGTTGACCTGTTTGCTAACTTGAGTTGACCATCAATCATGCACTGCTTAATCATGGTGATAGCACTTGTGGTAAGTCTGAGGAGTTGTTTCTATACTGTTTCTTCTAGCAGAAGCATCAATGTTTCTTAACTACTGAATTACACAAAGTATGATTTGTAAACAGTTATGTAAGACAAACTTGTGATAAACTATCCATTCTTAAAATAACTAGATTTAACACTTGCATAATATAAATTGTCTAAATCATAACACTCACATTAAACTTAAATGGAAATAGTTATCTATATCTAACACTTGCTGTTAACGTACCCCAATCTCCATCCTCTGTGGTATTCCTGGTGAAATGGCATTTCCAGCAAAGTGGTCATTTAGGCCCAATAACTGGAAGTTAAGTTGTCAAGAAAAAAAGAACTTAGTCACCAATAGTTTGACAAGTTCATGGACAAAATGTTTTCTGACAAGAATACAATATAGTACCACACACAGGGTCAGTGTTCTATGGTGCATGTTGAAATGATAAGAGCCAATGAACTTTATTGAGGGGGTTCTTATCAGTTTAGTGTTCCCATAGTCAGTAAGTTCAAGTATACCTAAGCTAAGTTTAAATACAGTGAAAATAACACTGCTGTAGTTGATAAGTGAGTTTAAATTTAACAAATCTACAAATGTAAAACTAAATCAAATTGCTTAAACCTTCTTACAAACACTGTTCTCTTTGAAGAATGAATCTATTCACTCTGGATCCAAAAAGTGATTAGAAAAATATGTTACCAGAAAATTTGAAATTATGTGTTACAAGGTGTTATTTGTCTAAAATCCTGTCTACCCTTAAAGTTTATGTCCTTTCTCTTTGTATAACAAGCTAAGTTTGCCCCTGTAAGAGAGAATATTGAAGACCATGTTGTGTGTAAATATGGTTTTCATATGAGATCTCTGTCCACTCAAGAGTTCAATTCTAGGGTGCAACTGCCTCTGACTTTTATCAAATTTGTCAGCAGGAAAAATAACTTTCTATTTATGTATATTGTGTTATGTTCCTCACAAGAGAAGTTTGTTAATTGTCAGTTAGCAAACCCATGACCTTATAACACCAAATTTGTTACTTTTCTTTAATTGGAACTGGCATTTTTACAGCTTCTTCAGTACAGCTTTGTTCTGTTACTTACAGTTTGTGTTTTAGTGGAATGTGTAAAGCAAAATGTTGAACCCATATCTTGTATGTTTTCTAAACTGGGAAAGTTAGTGTTATTTAAGCAAAACTGTGTGTTGAAATTAAGAATACTGAAAAAAAAAAGAACAATGATATTGAAAAATGTACATACTAACTAAGGGGGTAGCAGGCATGTAGAATGGTACATAGGGTGGCAGGCATGTAGAATGGTACATAGGGTGGCAGGCATGTAGAATTGTACAGGGGTGGCAGGCATGTAGAATTGTACAGGGGGTGGCAGGCATGTAGAATTGTACAGGGGGTAGCAAGCATGTAGAACTGTACAGGGGTAGCAGGCATGTAGAACTGTACAGGGGTAGCAGGCATGTAGAACGGTACAGGGTGTAGCAGGCATGTACAACTGTACTTTGATATGCTTCTTAACCATTTCTGTACTGGGAGTTATCAATAAATGAAATAAATTGTTCTTGATATGTTTCCTGACTAATTGGTCAAGAAAACCATTCTAAATGGTTCATAAAAACCTGTCTCCCTTATGGTTTATACTTTAAAATTTCACAGTCTTAAAGGTCTGAAATTAAAATTCCTCATAATTATGGCTTCATTAACAGCTGAAATCTTAATTTAATTTTGAAGTTCATCATTAATTACATCAGCTCATCTGGTGGTCTGTAACAAATTACAACTAAAAGACTTCTACCCCAATATCCACTAAAAGAAACCCAAGTAGATTCAATATCCCTGTTATCATCTTTAATATTGTTACGTCTCTGTGTTCGTTTGTTAATTTTCCGTGGAAATTCTTTCCGATAAACTTCGGCGATACAAGTCCTTTCTTAAATAAAACTAGTTTATTCTTTCTCAACTCAACTTTGCAATACACTTAATTTCCACAGTCACTTTAATGCTATAATTCGCAAAGATTCACGCACTTTACTTACGGCTTGACTCGATTATCTGTCTCTATATCTTTCTGTCTGCAATTCAATTATCTACCAATATCGTCACTTCTCGCCGGTCTTATATATACAAAATAGAGGGCATCTCAAGCCTTCAGGAACCTTCTAGATACTCATTATGTGTTACCAGCATCACGTGACTTCCTCTGTTGTAACAATATCCTTAACTTCAGTAGGATGTAACTCAACTTATACATAAAGCCACTCCTCTCCTCATTTTAGTACTCTGTCATTATAAATAACCTATAACACTGTATTTCATAAATTTTCTGTCATTAAAATTGCATACATCTAACCTAGTTTGAGGTATTCTCATAAAATCCTCTGTTCTGACTAGTGCTCTAAGGTCATCTGTTTTATTTCTTATACTTCAAGTAATACAATAGCAACAATTTAATCTAACATTAAGACTATTTCTGTACTTTGTTCCTATATTACACTTTTTTTCTGGTCTCATAACTGTCCTGGTTTAAAGCCACCATTAAAGCTGAGTTAATAGCCTTTGCAAACATGTTAGCTTCTCCCCTATTCAAGTGTAAGCCATTCTTTCTGAAAAACGTTTTCTCATCATTTAATCCCACAGATCCAAGAAGCCAAACTGCTCATCCTTCTATTAACCAAAGACTAGCATTCAACCCTATGACCAGCTTATAATCTCATCCCCACAAGAATTAAGTTGTGGCCCATTTATTTAAATACCTTTTATCTATTTCCTTTACTTCTCAGTTAGCTCCTCTGACTTTGTTTCCTAAATCATTAGCTCCTATGTGCACTACAATGACTTCTAGCACCCTTTACTATCTCACTTGCTCTATCACTTATGTCTTCCACACCTGCTTGTAGATGGCATAATCTATTTATTTTCTCTCATTTGGAAAACATGTGGAAATCACGTAAATCAATACATATAACTCGAAAACCACACAAAATGTGATTTAGCTATGAGCATCACTAAAACAATGGATACATTTCTTCAGATGTAATTTTGTGTATAAGTCTAATACTGATGTTTAACCTTCATGTTTTTTGTTGTTTTTTTTTCTTTTCCAGAGTTCCACCACTTAAGATCTTATTAGTAAACACTAGGATTCCACGAAATACCAGAGATCTAGTTGCCAGTGTACGGCAAAGATTTGATACGGTGAGTTTGTGTAAAAAAAATAAATGTTTAAACGAATCGTGTCATTCACATATTACTGTTAATGTTAAAAGAAAATTGTATGTTTAACATAGAAGATTACTACTAATAAAGTGAACACAACAATTTATCTTATCCAGAACATTGGTTTACTGTTACATAAATGTTCTGTACAAAGACTTTAGAAATAGTTGACTGTTTTGTTTACTATGACTGGTTGGAATGACTTACAAAAAATGTATGAATCAACTTCTTTTTTTTTTTTAGCATGGGCTTGGTCCCTAGGACTGACCTCATAACCATTTTGTG